CCCAAGGCAATATAAGGATATTGACCTGAAAAAAGTTGGGTGTCACCAGCATTTTTTTCGAGAAATTGAGGGTTTTATTTTAGTGGAAAATCGCCATTTTGACACTATTATAATGCTTTTACCACAGGTTTTTATGGCAGCGATATTATGCAATATCTCAAAATCTAGCCTGGTGACATAGGCTGAAAAAATCATGTATTGTTAATGATGGAGTACTTTTTGTTGTTCTGAATTATTTAAAAAATCTGGGTTTTAAAAAGTGTCAAAAAATGCAGTTTTTCTTTAACATTGTGTTCTATGGAAATGTTCTAAAAATAGCAATTTTCAAGAAATATTAGGACACATTTCTCAAAAAGCATAACTAACACACAAAATAATGCTATTTCATTATACCATAAGACATTAGCTTCATGATTGTACATAATAAACTAATGAACATTGTCATGCGATTTATGACCAATTTTGTCAAAAATTGTGACTAGGCTTCTACCTTAAAACCCATTTTTTCACTTAAAAAATTAATTTATGCTTAGAAACATAAAAAATAATAATATTTATGTATCAATGGATAATTTTAGGCGTGAAAATAGCAGCCATTTCACAGGAACTTTAAATTTGTGTCAAGTGTCAGCTTGTTGGAAATAAAAATACCAAAGTCAATTGATACTACTAATCATACAAGAAATCTTGTATCAGAGATTGACAGGTAGATAATGGTTTGCATTATCAGTTTATTTTGGTGCACACTGTAAATATTCATTGGTAAATGTCCTTGAGAATATAACTAACTGATCAGTATTTGTTTTAGCATGAGGGCTTGATTATCTGCTTGTTTATGTTGATTTTCACCAACGAATAGTGTTTGTTATATTTTGTTAGGTAAATAATGATAATAATAATAATAATAATAATGTTTATTCAACCTTTGTATCGGCAGCATGAAAACAGTACATATCTTTAAATTACAGATGTTTGTGAAGAGCATCAATGTCCAATATTTCATTATACATCATCAAGTTTGTCAGGGCCATCATTTGCCTGTGTTTCTCTGTGATACAAAATGTTAGGACATTGAGTAACGAAACCTTTGAGTTTCGAAATCAACTATGCCCATATTTTAGAAACCACATTGTAACTCAATGTTCAATTTACAGTTAACTAAACCTCAAGTTATGGGCCACATACATTTTTGTTTTTGTTGAACATCCACATTTAGTAACTCAAACTTTAATTAACAGTTAACAAAATTTATGGACAATCATGCTGAATGAAAAGTAAAATGGTGTTTGTTTATTCACAGATCCATGAACTCATTTGATCAGACAGACAAAGACGGTTGTGGTCAAGGAATCCCATTACCTGCATCACAACAACAGTTTCTGTGTATACTAGAATCTATCTCCAAACACAGCCAGGCTGATGAGTTCCCTATTGAGGATCTTTTACTCACAAGGATTCCAATTCCACCTGGAGAGTATTGCAACTCATTGGACAACAGTGGTGAAATGGAGGGTGAGGACAGCAGACAACCCCCAGAGGGGGAGAGTGATACATCCGAGGCTGAGGCAACACCTTCTGAAGACAGTCATATAAGAACCAAGACCAGACGCAAAGCTTGCAACATTATGTCGATAACATGCCAGTAAATCAAATGAAGGATTTTGTGCAATATCTGGTTGAGTTGTGTGTAGGAGCCAGAGCTGCTCTTGGAGATGTCTCTGTTAAAATGGGCGTGGTTGAGAAGTTCCGGGAGCATCTGGAGAAACGTTTGCAGACACTGATGCCTGGTGCATTGTTTGAAGTAATGAATTCAGCAAGAGAGAGGATAACTCCCCAATCCTCTCTCAGAGTTACTTTCAAAGCTGGTTCCACTGAAGAGATTGCTGTCACATCAGAAGCAGCAATATGTCTGCCAGCACCACTACCTGTACCAGTAATTGATCCAGTTAGGATTTACTCAGAAGAAGCTTTGAATGAGCTTTCCAACTATAATGCAAAAGCTAATCTTAGGGTCCCTGATGCAATGAAGAGTTTGGCTTCTCTTAGAGGTTTGGCTTTGGTGAAATATTACCATGAGAACATTGCTCAGATCAGCAGTGATCTAGAGGAGTTGAAATTTATCATGTGGTGTGGCGTAATTCCTCACAGTACGCCAACCAATGAAGTAGTGACCTGTGTGATGCTCAGTTCCAGAGCGCTCTATTTTGTTTCTGATGAAGAAGTGGAGCTGTGGAGAAACCAACCCACAAGTGTAACAGACTCTTGGAAGTGCCATCGAAGAATGCATAGTGATTCTATACTGGAACATATGCAGAGAGCGGCAAAGGGAAGATCTAAATCATCTGGTGGTAGACATGAAGGCACAAGTCATTCTAGCGGTGTCATCATGGATGTGAGTCCTGACAGCAGCCAAGGGCAAGTCAGATGTTTTCATGTGTTACAGCTTAACAACCTCAAGCAAGTATTCATAGGGATGTTTGATCAGAGTTTGCGTCTGACTGGACCAGATACTGCAAACACACTTGCCTGTATTACCAGAGACTACCATCTGACACATGGATTCCTTGACGCCCTCATGGCAGCTCTCTGTTTTGTCAACATTGCAACGCCATCCCCAGAGATGGAACGCAGTGCATCTGATTTTGAAGTCTACAGTGCTTCTGCGAAAGCAAGGTCATGTTCTGAAAACTTAGAGTTTGTTCACCCGAGTAAAGTGAGATTTGTCTACCCAAATGAGGAAGTTGTAAGTGACTTGACATTCACCATCATTGACAGCATCAAAGAATATGACCCAGTCAATGATGTCACAATCTTGATGTATTCACTACTATTTCAAGTTTCTCCATGTGAAGAAGAATGTGACGAGTCTTCAAAGCTACCGTCAACGTCTATTACATCCAGGCTGCTTGAACCCAGAACCCTAATAGTGACCAACTCACACGTCATGATCTGCCTACAAGACCATGTTAGCTATCCACTACCAGATTTCGCTAAAATCCTCCCTGAAAACGCACAGTACAAGGTGTTAGAAGCAAAGAGACTGACTGATCTCAGGAGGGTGGTAATCAGTGACTTCGGAGCACGAGACATTGCCCTGGTCTTTGAAAAGACTGAAGTGGTGGTTGATGTCACAAGGGACTATTACAGTGCTCGTGATTCTCCAATAACGGATGAAGCAGGTCAGCAAGAGATCCAGTGGACTTTCATCTTACAGACGGTGGAAGAAAGAGAACGATTAACAAAGTTGCTTTCTAAACAATGGACAAACATTACAAGTAAAGAGTTATCAGTGCAAATAAATACATGACTAGACAAGATAAAACATGATTGACTGTATGGTATCTGATTATACAGCTGGATCAATATGGTCGATATTATGGTTTATTCTGTTATGAAAGTGACATGCTTTGTTGCAGCCAAGTCTAATAGCGATTCACCATTGGTGAAGGGTTAGACCAAAAAAAAAGTGTTGCTTCTCAATCCATGGTAAATTGAAAAATGAAGTATCATGTGGTTTTAATTTTTTTTAATTGATATTATTTAATACAACAAGATACATGTACAATGTTTATCACTTATTGAATACATGCATTAAAGCTTGATTTGAATCAACAAAACATTTTCTTAAACTGAAAACAAACATTACCCTATTTTATCATATGTGGTACACTTTACTGGTACAAACAAAATTTGTGTGTTGCAGATTTGAAACTGATGCATGCGATGGCAAAAATCATATTAATCCATGGGGGGGGGGGGCTTAGTGGAAGCTCAGGTCTAATGTGACTCGTTATTCAATTGTGTTCTGTATGACTACTGTGGCATTTTAAAAATTATGATTTCAGTATAAATTTTGAAATTCTGAAAACAATAAATCAGTTGCCATATAGACAGAAAAAATCATGACACTTATGTTAACATAGCAACAGAAATGACGCCTACATTTACTGGAATTATGTCTCATCTTTTCTATATATATAATGTGTATCACAAAGAATGTGAATACTGTAAGGCAGGACTTTTTTTATTCCTTGTTTCTCAAGTTTTTATATAGGCAATTTTTTTGAGGAGGGCGAAAAAAAAAAAAAAATTCTTTTTTTCCCATTAGATTTGTGTGATTCACAAAGAATTGTAAGTGAGATCATTGATCGGAGAGAAGAAATGAAATAAAATTTTATTCCATGTATAACCTTGCGCGAGACTTCGGTACGAAAATGCAACTTGAATTTGGTATGAGGCGGGCAGCAAAAAAATGAAGATAAAAAAAAATATTTTTTTAGCAATTTTTTGCGCTTACAAGTCGGCGGGCGCGAGAAATTACGCTGAAATAAAATTTTATTTTTATTTCATTTTCAGCTCCTGTTCATTCGGCAGGTTCGCGAAACAAGGGATAATAAAAGTCTGGCCTAAACAGGATTGAAATGTTGATATGCTGATTGTGATCTTATCATTTGATTATGAGATTAGATTTAAGGGTAAATTCACACTGAGCTGTATCCTAAGCTGATGGTTAGAATCCAAAAAACATTGAAGACAGAACCATGTAAATTTTCTCTTTCTGAGACAAGTTTTGACCTGCATATTAAATTGGAGACCACTGATCATGTTCGACATCAGGGTAATTCATGATTGTATGTATCTCGTAACTATTAGCAGTGCTACCAGATTTAACCTAGCTGAATGAATTATCTTATGTAGCCATGTCTGTGTGATGAACCATTTTGAGTAGATGTATTTAGAGTTGGAGGGCACTAAGACAACATTGCTGAATAATACTAATAAGTAGTTATAAACATTTGTTTATACTATTTCCAGGTGCTAATCTTTGAATGTTAAGTCTATATATGGGCAATTTTGTTGCCACTACAGTAAAACTGATGAATTATTGAAAATGTCTAACTCTGTATTACCATACAATCAATAATTGTATCTCACAAAGCATTTAAATGAGCATTGCAGATATTGTCTAACATGTCAGTCTTGAAAGAAGCTTTACCTTATGACTACTGTGGGTTTTATAGTAATGTACAGCACTGTGGGCTGTAAGAAATGTGTTGGTGCCAATCGATCATGGCCAGTAAACTGATATTGCATTATTCAATGTCAGTATACTTGGAGGAAGGCTTTAGAAAGATTGTTGAATTTATTATCAGCTTGACTCCAGATTTGAACTTGACATAATTGTTATCTTCAGTTGTTTCTGGGGAAGTGACAAAATCTGTTGGATTTGGGTTGTAGTAGGCATTGGCAAAAACTATGCATAAAACTGTTTATGATATCCCTTACAATGCAATATTCAATGCAGTTATAGCTGTGTTAATTATGACTTGTCATGGAATCAAAACTGATTAGTGTTGTAAAGAGTGCATTTTGAAATTGTTTTTAATCATTTTTTTAAAAACTTAATTGAATTTGTTATTTACAAAAGTTGGATATGTGGCTGATTAATATGCAGATTATTGTATCATGTGGTTAATTTCATACAGTAAAATAGCATCGAATATACTTTTGTTTCACTGTTTTGATTTCAAGGGTGCAAACTCCCCTAGGACATAGTGCATAGAAATGTAATATGGGCAATCTCAAATTCCCCATCTAGCCAATTTCAATCAATCACATTTATCATAAGCCTTTTCAGTTTCTTATCTTCATTCAATCTGATTAGTTTTTTTTATGTATTAATTCTGAACACAAAAAAATGTTGTGAATAATATATCTTTATTACTACACAATTGCACCATCACAGGGTACTGCAAGGTGAACAATCTGACAACTGCCCACCAAGTTACCTTAGATACCTAGTATCAAAGCAATTGAGCTGGTACTTTTCCAGAAAAAGTCTAAAATAGCATTTTCTACCAAATATTTCAAAAAAAAATTGAAGACATCTTTACGATATACATGGTTATTCACCAAGTATCGAAGTAATTGGCTTGGTCGTTTTCAGAAAGTCAAAAATTGAATTGTTGACAGTTGAACATACTAGGATCAACAATCACCTATACATGTATGAACAGCCTCGCCCAGTCAGAGCTAAACAAAATTATATCCCAATCCCTCACCATTTAACATATTTGCTGTACATCCAATGGAGCAACCTTGCATACTTATTATCATATACGCATTGGATAGAATAAGACTTTTTCGTAGTCAAAGCAAAATGGTCATCTTGGAATAGAATGTGACCCTTTCATGCTACGATTTTACAGCAGCAAAATGCTGTGCGTCTTTAAGGAAATAAAACATGTAGATAATCACTGTTTTAGTATTCAGTTCAGTCACAGACATGAGAAATTTTGATAATAAATTTGATTAACAAAATTTGCATAAATTAAAAATTCAGTAAAATACATGTTTATCCATGGTAGTTCCTCCATTAAAAGCACACTTACACTAACAATTGAATTTATTAACACTGGATCTTTGCATGTCAAATGTGATTTTGACCAGACATGCCATGCGAGTGCATTGATTCAAACATGAAATACTAAAGCTGTTTGGCACTTTCCAAGCAACTTGTGACCAATTGCACATTTCTGAATTAAATGACTGTTCACTTGCCCGGATAAGGACTGTTCAAGTTAGATCTATGCACTCAAGAGTTGCCGAATGCGTGTATGAGCGATCTGAACTGAGTATGCATGTAGTGGGGGAAAAATGTGCCTGATAGAAAGCCAAGATCTACCTTGCTGCACATGCCAAAATCATTCCCCTTGGTGGTGAACTTAAAGGGGAACCGCTCAATCCCATGGATTGCACCAAAGAATCATGGGACTCTATTGTTTATGTTGTTCACAATGTTAATCTATCTTTTGTTATCCATTGTTATTTTAATCCAGAAAGTAAATTTGTTGTGAGATTAGGCTCAACTGGAAGGTGCCCCTTTAAGAGATAATATATTACACTATTGCAATATCTTTTTACCTTAAAATGCAAACAGTACATCAATGTAATGGCTTTGAATTCTACATTGTTGATCCTGGGCGGTGCAATTTTGATGATTAACAGTAGGTCCTATTAAGCATCAATAGTCCACATAAAGGAATATAATATTTGGCACATGGCGTATCTTGCAATGCAAAACGCACCTACAGCTTGCTCATTTTGTTTCACAAATTTACTGTGTATCAAGACAAAAATAGACTTGTGTATGAAGCCACATATCTATGTACAATAGTCCCCAATGTGTCACAACTGTCACTTATTCATACAATATAACGAGTATTGTTAAAAACATTTTATTTTTTATATAAGACTATACATGAATAAAAAAGTTAAAAATATATTGTTTTTATAACACAATTTGCATGTTTAGTATTTGGGATATTAAGATTAATCAATAGTTTCACATACTTGGGTTGGTTTGAACTGAACATGTGAAAACATTTTATGACATTGTATTAGCACAGGGCTAACTATCGAC